TTCCCATTTTTAATCCCATTTTTTCCCATTTTTCCCCATTTTTTCCCCATTTTTTCCCATTTTTCCCATTTTTAATCCCATTTTTTCCCATTTTTTCCCATTTTTTCCCATTTTTTCCCATTTTTCCCGCCAGGTTGAGGAGCTGCTGCCGCCCCCCGAGGAGTTCGAGGCGCCCCCAGGTCAGCCCCAAAATTCCCAAAATTCCCCTCAAAATTCCCCAAAAATTCCCCTAAAAATCCCCAAAAAATTCCCCCAAAAAATCCCCCAAATTCCTCCAAAAATGCCCCAAAAAATTCCCCCCAAAATTTCCCCCAATTCTCCTCCAAAATTCCCCAATTTTTCCCCTCAATTTCCAAATTTTCCCCCAAAATTCCCAAAATTCCCCCAAATCCCAAAATTTTCCCAAAATCTTCCCACAATTCCCAATTTTTCCCTCAAAATTCCCAAATTTTGCCCCCAAAATTCCCCAAAATCCCTAAACTTTCCCAAATTTTTCCCCAAATTCCCAATTTTTACCCCAAATTCTTTAATTTTCCCCCAAAATTCCCAAGTTTTGCTCCTAAAAATTCCGCAAAATTTTCACTAAATTTCCCCAAAATTCCCTAATTTTCCTCTCAAAATTCCCAAATTTTGCCAACAAAATTCCCCAAAATCCCTAAATTTTCCCCAAATTCCCAAATTTCCCCCCAAAATTCCCCAAATCCCAAAATTTTCCCCAATTTTTTTCCCAATATGCCAATTTTTTCCCCAAATTCCCAAATTTTTCCCTCAAAATTCCCAATTTTCCCTCAGAATTCCCAAATTTTTCCCACAATCCCCAAATTTTCCCATTTTTTTCCCAATATTCCCAATTTTTACCCCAAAATTCCTAAATTTTCCTAAATTTTCCTAAAATTCCCGTGTTTTCTCCAAATTTCGGCCCCAAAATTCCCCCAGTTCCAAATTTTCCCCAAATTCCCAAATTTTACCCCAAAAATTCCCTCAAATCCCAGAATTTTCCCAAATTTATCCCAAAATTCCCAAATTTTCCCTCAAAATTCCCAAATTTTCCCTCAAAATCCCCAAATTTTCCCCAAAATCCTCAAATTTTCCCCAAAATCCCCAAATTTTCCCCAAAATTCCCAAATTTTCCCTCAAAATCCACAAATTTTCCCCAAAATCCCCAAATTTTCCCCAAAATCCCCAAATTTTCCCTCAAAATTCCCAAATTTTTTTTTCCAAATTCCCAATTTTTGCCCCCAAAATCCCCAATTTTTTTTAAACTTTTCCCTAAAATATCCCAAATTTTGCCCCAAAATCCCGAAATTTTCCCCAAATTTTCCCCAAATTTCCCCAAAATTCCCAAATTTTCCCCAAATTTTCCCAAATTTTCCCAAATTTCCCCAGAGCTGATCACGCTGCGGGAGCTGGAGCCGCCCCTCCCCCCCCCGGAGCCGCCCCAGGTCAAATTTTGGGAATTTTGGGAATTTTGGGAATTTTGGGAATTCTGGGGAGAAATTTGGGGAGAAATTTGGGGATTTGGGGAAAAAATTTGGGGAAATTTGGGCGTTTTGGGGGAATTTATGGAAAATTTGGGAATTTTGGGGAATTTTTCGGCGACTTTGGGAGGATTTTGGGAAAAATTTGGGAATTTTGGGGGAAAATTTGGGATATTTTTGGGGGAAATGTTGGGAAATTGGGAATTTGGGGAGAAAAATATGGAAAATTTGGGGGAAATTCGGGAAATTTGGGGGAAATTTGGGGATTTTTGGGAAAATTTGGGATTATCTTGGGAAATATTTGGGAAAATTTGGGGATTTTGGGTGAAATTTGGGGATTTTGGGTGAAATTTGGGGATTTTGGGGGATTTGGGCAGAAATTTGGGAATTTTCAGGGAAAATTGGGAAATTTTGGTAATTTGGGGGAAATTTGGGGGAAATGTTGGAATTTTTGGGCAAATTTAAGACAATTTTGGGGGAAAATTTGGGATTTTTTAGGCAAATTTGGGATGAGGTTGGGAAAAATTTGGGGGAAATTTGGGAGAAAATTTTGTGATTTTTTGGGGGATTTTGGGTGAATTTGGGAAGTTGGGAATTCTGGGGAGAATTTGGGAGATTTTGGGGTATTTTGGGTGAATTTTGGGGGGATTTTGGGGAGAATTTTGGGTCAATTTTGGGTAAATTTTGGGTGAATTTTGAATCAATTTTGGACAAATTTTGGGTGAATTTTGGGAGAATTTGGGATGAATTTTGTCTGAATTTTGGCTGAATTTTGAGTCAATTTTGGGTGAATTTTGGCAAATTTTGGGTCAATTTAGGCTGAATTTTGGGGTAAATTTTGGCTGAATTTTGGGTGAATTTTGGCTGATTTTGGCTGAATTTTGGCTGAATTTTGGCTGAATTTTGGGTAAATTTTGGCTGAATTTTGGCTGAATTTTGGCTGAATTTTGGCTGAATTTTGGGTCAATTTTGGCTGAATTTGGGCTGATTTTAGGCTGATTTTAGGCTGAATTTTGGCTAATTTTGGGCTGAATTTGGGCTGATTTTAGGCTGAATTTTGGGTGAATTTTGGCTGAATTTTGGCTGAATTTTGGGTGAATTTGGGTCAATTTTGGCTGATTTTGGCTGAATTTTGGCTGAATTTTGGGTCAATTTTGGGCTGAATTTTGGCTGAATTTTGGGCTGAATTTGGGCTGAATTTTGGGTCAATTTTGGATGAATTTTGGGCTGAATTTTGGCTGAATTTTGGGCTGAATTTGGGCTGAATTTTGGCTGAATTTTGGGCTGAATTTGGGGTGAATTTTGGGTAAATTTTGGATGAATTTTGGGGTGAATTTTGGCTGAATTTTGGGGTCAATTTTGGCTGATTTTAGGCTGAATTTGGGCTGAATTTTGGGTCAATTTTGGCTGAATTTGGGCTGATTTTTGGGTGAATTTTGGGTGAATTTTGGGGTAAATTTTGGCTGAATTTTGGCTGATTTTGGGGTGAATTTTGGGCTGATTTTAGGCTGAATTTTGGGGTAAATTTTGGCTGATTTTTGGCTGATTTTGGGGTGAATTTTGGGGTGAATTTTGGGTAAATTTTGGCTGATTTTTGGCTGAATTTTGGCTGAATTTTGGCTGAATTTTGGCTGATTTTTGGGCTGAATTTTGGCTGAATTTTGGCTGAATTTTGGCTGAATTTTGGCTGAATTTTGGCTGAATTTTGGCTGAATTTTGGCTGAATTTTGGCTGAA